CAACGTCATGTAGCCAACCATTTGCCAACTAGGGACCATTGCCAAACCTACGCAACGTTGGCCAACAGTCATGTAGCCAACCATTTTGCTAACGTGACCATTAGCCAACCAATATGCCAACGTTGAGCCCAGACGTTAGCAGCCAACCATTTGGCAAGTAGCAATAATCATGCAACCTAAGTACCAACGTTGCCCAACGGTCATGCAGCCAACCACTGGGCCAAACGGGACCATGCCGACCTACGTCAACGTTGGCCAACGTCATGCAGACAACCATCTGCCACAACCGGGAACCATGCAACCATTACGGCAACGTTGGGCCCAAGCATGCAAGCCAACCATTTGCCAACCGTGGACTCCATGGCCAAACCGATTTACGCCGACCGTTGGGCCCAACGTCAGGCCAGCAACCACTGGCCAACCGGTGACCATGGCAACCAGGACACCAACGGGCCCAACGTCATGCAGCCAACCACTGCCAACTTAGCTTCATGCCAACCATACGCCAACGTTGGAGCCCAACGTCATGCAGCCAAAACTTGCAACTAGCATTATGCCCAACCATACGCCAACGTTGGCCAACGTGTATGTAGCCAACCAGGGGCCAACTAGCATTGCTGCCAACCATACGCCAACGTGGGCCAACGTCATGCAGCAACCATTTCCAACTGAGCATTCATGCCAAAACATACGACCACCGTTGCACGCCCAACAGGCATGCAGCCAACACTTGCCAACCGTGAAAACCTTGTCCCCTTGTTGCCAACCATATGCCAACGTTGGCCAACGTCATATGCCAACACATGCCAACCATGACCGTCACGTATGGCCCAACGTTGGCCAAAGTCATATTGACAACCGGAGACCGTGGCCAACCAAAGGCCAAACCGTTGGCCCAACGTAAGCCATGCTAGTCTGGGTAGCTGCTGTGTTACACTAAGAAAGTGCTACAATAAGCTATCATATGGCCTCGCGAACGATTTGAGATACTTGCTAGAAAGGGGAGGGGGGGGGAAAAAAAAAAAATTTTGTCTTAAGAATTAGCATATAAACAGCATGTGATGATTATGATCTCTGTGCAATGAGTCTTGAGTTATTGAACCGCGATGTGGCTTTAACTGTAATTAGCAGTGTCTACGCGCGAATATCGCACAGGCTAATAGACGCACGGCTATTGGGCGGTAAGAAAGTGGAACAATTTAAACTATCAATATGGGCGGCGCGAACGATTTGACGTTTAACATATATACTATAAATCTAGCTACACATGGAACATGTCTTAAGCTATAACTCTGCTGTAATTTTTGAGTTTTATTGACGTACGATTAGTGTCTATTAAGTACTAGGACAGTTGTACAGCGTACGATATCCACACTACAGCGCATGGTACTTAAGCGGCAGCGGGTGTGTTGCCGCCTGTCTTGTTTTGCAAGGGCGCATGCGCAGTAGTCTATCTGCGCAGTGTCGCCCATGGCCCATCGAAAACGGTCGCAATAAACAAACATGGCGACCAACCCGGTCACTCATGGAAACATTTGATTGAAACAATTTGCAATGTAGTAAGTTAGTAAGACTGTGTTATATTTGTGTCAGGTTACAAGGTGAAATAAAAGAGCATGGCTACTATTTCCTACGGTTCTGCAAAACAAGATTCAAACAAACAAAAACAAGAGAAAAACAAAAGAGCATGCGCGCATGCGCACTTAGGAGCGTCCAGTTTCGGGCGAGCGTCCAAACTCTACGGGACAGCGCCACTGTTGACATTTGCCATATGCCATAAGTCATCTTCTTTATCAATTCTAATGTTCTGTCATATTCTCATGTCTTCTTCTGTCATGTCTCATGTTCTGTCAGTAACCGATAATTAGTGACTCCCCCACATTTCGGACAGAGAAGAACATGTTTCGACTATATATAAATATATTGACGTTCGTTATATTGCGAAGCGTATTATTCATTCGATACATTACATACATGGTTACCGACCGATACATGGTTACCGATACGATACATGGTTACCGACCGAGTACCATGCAGTTGCTTGTCTTGTGGCGCAAGTCGTTGGTCACTCTGTTCGAACACGGGTTATCTCACGGCCTGCATGAACAACCTCACTATGAAGCCTGCACAGTTTCTCCGTGTAGCAAGTGCTACTGCTGTCAATCTGCTGCCAGTTTAGATGCTAGACAACTTGGACGTTTAGATGCATACCGCGTGGCTGATTGGTGTTTTTGATTAATCGATTTGTGTGCTGGTTATGCAAATGAAAGCAGTACGGTGAACGTAACTTCGTCAGTAATTCCTTTGCGCCCGCGTATACAAACCTCAAAAAACTCCTCTTTGAAAGGTTGGTCGCTTCCTATCATATACCGGCCACACCCTTAATTATCACGGGGGAGCCACGGGAACTAAAGCCTACACATCTCTTAATAACATCATAGGAACAGTGTCTACTTAATAAGGTGTGTAGGTTACATATTACAATAATTATTATACGTAGTCGAGAGTCACGTAATGGCAGTTTTCTGCAGCGATTCTCACTTCTATTCATCTACGTACATGGCTGAAACCGCCATGTTGGATTTATGCGGTCAGGCCGCAACTTCGATTCACAGTCAACATGCACCGTAGCTCTAGTACTATAGCCCGCGGCCTGCGGCAACTGTACTGTAGCTACATGCACCGGTGGCAATCTCGCATTGTATTGAGGCGATCCACATTAATCTCAGCCTATCCTGTGTTGACATTATGAATGCAAACTTCTAGGGCAGAGCATGTTAGATTGCGAGTGTAGATCAATATAATTATGTGAGATAGGTGATCCTCCCAGGTTTGTATGAGTCTATGAGATCAGTCCGGGGTGGATCTAGGGGGGTGGATCATCCATGAGGTCCGGTGTCGCGCGAAATATCTGCCGAGTGCGAAATATTTGAGATAGCCCCGCCCCTCCCCGACCCGACCAATGACAGCTCGTCTTTGTGTTACGATAGGTTGTGCACACTAATCTGCACACTAATCTGCACACTAAGGAGGAGGAGGAGAAGGGAGAAGGTGGTGGAGAAGGAGGAGGGGGAGAAGGGAGAAGGTGGTGGAGAAGGAGGAGGGGGAGAAGGGAGAAGGTGGTGGAGAAG